TTTATGGGATCCAGACCGACGGGAGGTGCCTTAAGTATCCATTTTCGGCTTCAAGGGTGTAATGCTCACAACGTTTTGAGAGTCGATTGTATGCTAGCGTCTATGGCCCTCATTAAAGAGTTCCGGCTATTTTAGAGCTAGTAGGCCGACTGCTTTGTGGCAGAGTTGGAGCCGATTGCCGCCTACTAGCTTTGAAGAACGAAGCCTGGGTTTCGGTTTGTTCAAGAAGCATAAGGGCCATTACTCCACCTAGCATTTGCGAATCGTTTCAAAAGCTGAGTGTTTAGTGGGCGACGGTTATGATCATGTAAGTCTTGTTTGGTCTCCATGTTATACGACACATGCCTTGGTTTATATACCCTTGGTATTGTGCCTTGTCACTTGAAGAGTCGCCTCCTTGTTATGATCACATGGGACTTTGCCACCTAGTTGGTCTAAGTGACGTGTGGCTAGCAATGTGCTTCTCACGTAATGATATGAAGTAGTCAGCGCTTGATTCCATGTTTACCAGCCTACAAGCTTGACCATCCGACTCCCAACATTTGTTCGTATGACGCATGCAGTACTTGGCCGCCTGGCCGGATGCTCGGAGGCTGGTCTTCTATCGGTTGTACCCATTGAGTGTCATGCTAGGCGCATGTAACTTTAATCAGGGTTGGTTAGACCTGGCCGACTGCTTATATTGCCGCCTGGTCTATTAATTTAGCATGGGCAAGAACTATGTCGGTTGTACCCTGTGAGTGTTAGCACACTTTTGTGAGGGTGAGTGCCGCCTGTCTGACTCTCATGGTTAGATTTTGAATACCTCATGGAGGTATGGTGGAGACTGTCTTGAAAATCAGACGTAGAGGCCGACTCTGATAGTCGGTCATTCTTCTTCTGCTCCAGCAACATTCGAGCATCAGAGAATGTTCTCTTTGACTCGTCCGGTTGAACATAACGGATGGGCTTTCTCTTCCCTTGTGAAGGGAAGTGATACTTCGTTTAGTCGATCACTGGCGACTGCCTTACCCCAGGCTTTGGCTAGGGGGTCGCCACACGATCCTTAACAAGTCTAGTTCTCCCGGGGTGGGAGGACGTTCTGGCCGACTGTTCCTTTGCGGGAACAGGCGTTCTCTTTTTGATTAGCTCCTGGATTTCTCCCTTGAAACCTCTCATGAAATACATGAGTTCGTTCCTGGTAACAGGAGCAGACCCCTCGATCGCCTGTTGATGCTCAGGCGGTTGGACGGGTACGTCGAGCTCTAAGGGACCCATCGGGGGTCGTGTGAGTCTCGACATCGATTTCATTGTCGGTGTCCTGGTCCGACTGAACCAGGGGGTCGTCCATGGGACGCTTGTCACTTAGAATCGGTACAGACTGTGATGCCATCTCGAAAGTACTCTCCCCACAGACGGCGCCAAAATGTTTCGGGGTTTTCTGATGTCCTGCGAAAGAGTTACAATTCCGGGACTGGTATCCTTGCGCCTGTACCTGTAAAACAACGGAAACTCCTTGTGGTGGGAGCTCCGCCTCCAACGGTCAAGTTAGTACTTGTTTGAGGAGTAATAAATGCGGAAAGTAAAGGTGGGAGATCTGGTTCCTCTAGGGGAGGAGTGATCAATGTGTTTTGGTTTTCTCTAGGTGAGAGTCATTCTACTGAATCCCCTTTAATGAGGATTGATTAAGTATTTATAGTCTTGAGAAGCGTGCCAATCCTAGGTTTAGGTTAACCAGGGCAAATTGGGCTTCTCTCGGACTTTGGGCCTTGGTGGCCATTTTGCCTATTTGGCATATGGGAGGCCACGTGGCGTGGCCTGATTAGTCCATGTTGGACCTCTTAGGGTGACAAATGGAGGACGCTGATTGGCCCACGTGGTGGACACGTGGCAGGTCCGAATTGGTCCATTTGTCATGGGTAATTTTTACCCTAAACAGGTTGATTGATGAAATACATTCTCTTCTTTGTCGGCTTTGGTGGGGGTCGAGAGAGGATGAAAGAAAGCTCCATTGGCAAAATTGGGATAAGTTGTGTCTCCCGACGAAGGCAAAAGGTGGCTTGGGTTTCCGTGATCTCAAATTTTTTAACCAAGCTTTGTTAGCAAAAAAAATTTGGCGGCTACACACAAATGAATCGACTTTGCTCCACAAGATCCTTAAAGCGAAGTATTTTAAGAATTCTTCGGTGCTTAAGGCTTTAAGAGGTTACGACCCGAGTTTTTCATGGAGAAGTATGTGGGGTGCCAAGTGCTTGTTGTGGGACGGATTACTGTGGAGAGTTGGTGACGGGAGGAGAATTAAGGTGTGGAAAGACCCATGGATTGGTATCAATGGAAGGTCTGTTTTTCCAGATAAGCCGATGGATTGTGATGATTCTATGCTGGTTAGTGAGCTGTTGCAGGAGGGGTGTTTCGAGTGGGATGAGGAGAAGGTGAGGAATTTATTCCAACCGGATGTCTGTGCTAGTATATTGGCTATCCCTCTATCGAATAGACAACACACTGATAGGTTGTTCTGGTTCTTGGACAAGAAGGGGGTCTACTCTGTAAAAGCGGGTTATTGGCTTGCCAAGTTAGGGGGTGAGGATCAGCAGGAACAAGCTGCAAATGCTGCTATGTGGCGCTCTATTTAGAGTGTTCGCGGCCCTCCCAAGCTACAACATTTTCTTTGGAGTGCGGTTAAAGGGAACTTGGCTGTTAAGGATCGATTAGCTTACAGACATATCACACAAGATTCTTCATGTCAGGTGTGTGGGGTGGAAAGGGAGACGATTCTTCATGCGCTATTGGACTGCAACGCTACAAATCAGATATGGGCGTTTAGTGAGTATAAGGACAGCTTGGTGGACGCCCCTAACTCTTCTTTCTCCGAGTTTTGGGTTTGGATGAATAGCAAGTTTACAGGAGATGCAGTAAGGACAATGTCTACGCTGATGTGGGCTAGCTGGTGGTGTCGAAACTTAGCAATTTTTTAGAATGAGCACCCTAGTCCGGTGATGGTTGCTGCTGGGTTTCTAAGAATGGTGATGGACTACAATACTTACGCTCAGAAGGTCTTTATGCCTGCTGCTGGGGGTTCTATTGCCACCAGCTCTGGTGGATGGAAATGCCCTCCTATAGGCTGTATTAAGGTGAACACGGATTCCCATATTCCTGCTGGGGGCATGGCTAGCCTGGGGGTGGTATTTAGGGACGATACAGGTACTATCCTTGCTGTGCTACGCGAAAAAACTCATACGAAAGTGCCAGAAATTGCTGAAGCTCTGGCCATTAGATATGCCCTGCAACTTGCTCGGAGATTGGGTTACACTCGAGTTTGGGTGGAATCGGATGCTATAAATGTAGTTCAAGCTGTGCAATTGGATGATGGTGGCATGGCGCCTGTCTATATTATTTTTGATGATATTAGGAACGATAATTTGCCCTTTGATGCTTGTAATTTTTCTTATGTTAAACGTAACTTTAATACGGCAGCCCATCTAGTGGCGAGATGGGATACCGGTAACAATGTTGAGTGTGTACGTTTGAGTTCTTTTCCACAAAGCTTAATTACTTTGGCGGAAATGGATCTTCTTTAATAATATGGGCAGCTATTGTGTTTCAAAAAAAAAATATTAAATGTTTACTCCTTATTATAATGGGTTTTGGTTGGATTTTAATTGCATTTTGATAAAAATTTCCTTGCAATATTAGAGTAAGGTATTCACAAAGATTTCGTGTTAATTTCCATATTGGAAATCAAGAATTAAATACACATTAAGCGTAAAATCAAAATATACTAATAGTCTCTTCATTTTTTTTTCCTTTTTGAAGATTACGATAAAATATGTTAAAATAATTTAATGTACATTACTATTTATAAAATCAATAATTGATATATGTTGAACATATATATCGTCAAAATCTTGATATTATTTTTAATATTTATCAAAGAGATTAAACGAGGTACCTCGTTTATAAGATGGTACCATATGCTTCTTATTATCTTTGTTACTAATTGGTGCGGTTATGACCGTATATAAAGAAAAGGCTTTCATCAAGCTTAGTAGAAATAATATATATTCACCCCGTAACCTCCCCTCATCACTTCTCTCCTAAAGTCTAACCTCCATAATCGAGTTTTGAAGGGGCTTTCATTGAATTTTACTGGTAAAAAGCCCTAATCTTTGACTCTTTAGGCATTATATTCTCATTGTACGTTTTTTTTGGTTTGTTTGTGTGTTTTTGTTATTGTTTTTTGTTTTTTTGTTTATTTTTTTTTTCGTTTTTTTTAATATGTATATATACATCTTTATAATAACTATTCTTCTTTTTCAGGTCAACCTGGACAAGGTTCAATATCCTTCTAAAGACAAGGTTTTTTTATCTCGTATGACGAAAGACAGGGGTTCCGATATTCAATATTGTAAGATCTACTCGACAATATTTGTTTTATTGAAGTAAATTTATTTGATTTAATATGTTATGTATTTGCTACATTGAATTTTTTTTTTTCTTGTGAATGTGTATAACTTTTTTTAATGAATTAATTTTATTATTTAAAGAAGAATAGATTAGAAGAGTAAGACCTATTTTAAGTTATAATTCAGCAAAAAAATCTAGAATAATAAACTTATCATGGCTTAACATATTTTCCAAGAGTCCTAGTTTCATCAAAACTAAGGACTACATGTATAGAGAAAATTGGTAATACAAATACATACTAGACATGATCAATTTGGGGAAATAATATTTGATACTGGTTTAATTTATTATGTTTCAGTAACTTAATTAGTTTGTAGTCTACCAATGTTGATGAAATTGTCGTGCTTGTGGTTGAGTTGCCAATAAGTCCCATGTCCAAATTTTTTTTTTTTTTTTTTTTTTTTTTTTTTTTTTTTAATGAAGATGACAAGAGTAAAGGTTTCTAATGGTGTTAAGCCATTAAGGCACCACAAAGGTGGTTAGGTCTATCATAACTCGGTTTAGTAACAAAATACTAAAAGCTTCATCTAGTAACAAAATACGGAGTAGTTGGGTACCGAAGTATTACGCCGCTTTTTTTGCAATTGTAATTCTTTGCATTATTTGACCTCTTGTCGCCAGCTGTACCCCTCTCTTTCCACATTTGATATGACATCTTTGTTTTAAGTAGCTCTGTTAAATCAAGAATAATAGGAAATAAATCAAGGATAATAGGAAACAAATCAAGAAAATATAATAACAAGATATTAAAACAACATTTAGTCAAATCAAGAATGATAAGGAAAAATCAAGAAATATAATGACAAGATATCAAAAAATGATATGGTCAAATCAAGAAAATGTTATTAATGACAAGAAAATACAATTAATTACAAGATGTGAAAAAAGATTTAGTCAAATCAATAAAATATTAATTAATTAATGATAAGAAAATACAATTAATGATAAGATATCAATTAATGACTAGATATCAAAAAAATTATTTAGTCATTATATTTCTTGATTTTTTCCTAGTATTCTTGATTTATTTCTTTTATTTGATATGATTAAATAATTTTTTTAGTCAAATCTAAGAATAATTAGAAGTAAATCAAGAATAATAGAAAAAAATAATTAATGTAATGACAAGATATCAAAAAATAAAAATATGAGGATTTAATAATTGATGATTGTGTTCACATTGGTTTTTGTTGAAATGTTATGGGGTGAGATTGGTGGTCTGCGTCATATTTGAGTATGAGGTATTGGTTTTAATTTTGGTTTGGTTTAGGGTCATTATGAAAATGAAATAATGGTGTATTCTATATACCTGATTTTCACTTATATGAATTTATACCTTTCATACTTAAAATAAGTGAAGATAAGGTGAGCAGAATATGGCCTAAATTAACAAGGAAATGAATCAAAAAATAATTAATTGGTTTGATAATTAAATTGATGATGATGATGCATGTTTACACTAGTAATGCTAGAGAGTTGGATAAGATTATATGTCCGAGTCATATTTTATTTACAATTTATGTCACATTAAAGTTATTTGTTTCGTTTGTGTCAAAAAAAAAGTTATTTGTTTCGCAAACTACACTAGGACCACCAATTCAACATCAAACCCTCCCTATAATCGCCTTTTTAAATAAATTAAAAAATAAATAAAGTTAAGTACTCAACTTACCAAATAAACTCATAGTGTCTCAGGCTTTAGCATCATTAGAAGCTTCACAATTTTCAGCAACATCCATCGTACAATGAGCAATATTGTCCTTAATGATTCCTAAATAAATTACATGGTTTTAGACTATTGGATAACAAGGGTCATATGAATTCTATACCATACATCAACTTTGTTATTGCCATCTACATTCATTACTCTTTTATCAACATCATGCCTTCATTGCTCCTCTATCAACATCATAAAATTTAGACTAGCAACCATGTGCGAGTTGTTGCAACCGACCCCCAAATTTTCCATAAAACCCTAATTCATGAAATACACAAAAAAAATAAAGGAAAAGATTAATGGAATCAATTAGTGAAGTTTATAAGTAGGGTAAAAGCTTTAAGAAAAGATGAGAAGAAATAATTGGAAAACTTTTTGGGAATGAATTTTTATGGTGGGCGAAATCTGGGTTGATGTTTGGAGGAGAGGGAATAACAAAGGGCAAAGAGCAATATATGGATGAGAGAAGAGTTGAGGGATGTAAAGAGTATGGAGGATAATTATGAAATAACTTACTTTTAAAAAGTGTAACATTTGTCATTCTTAGGAAACCTATTTCCCACTTTTTTAAAAAAAATTGTTTTCCACCCGACCTTTACTAACCAAAAAAATAAAAAATGAGAAAATCATTTTCTTAAAAAAAATATTTTTGTCTAAACAATTAGAGTTTAAATAAGGTTACTCTACTTCATAAGAGGCATTGTTGTTTTATAAAAAAATTCTTTTAATGAATTGAAAAGCTTCATGAGAAATGACTTTGAGAAGTTTCAAATTGTAGCTTTTGTTTCTAGGGCTGGGATGTTGGGAGATGATTTGGGCTTCATTATTGAGAAATAGAATTTAATTTTTCAAATACCTTTATTTGGTCCAATTTTAGCTTCTAGGGGGTGAGAAACACTTGTAGAGAATTGGCCAAACGGGCACCGAGACTATCATTATTGACTCCCCACACTCGCTCTTCCCCATCAGCCCAACACTTTTGTTGTCCTTTGCTTCTAGGTTGAATTATCGTTGGGTTGTACTCTTGAACCAAGATGGGTATGCAAACTCTACCGTCCATAGCTACCTATATAGTTTTATATTATGCTTCTTAGATACCACATTGTTTTAACCAACTAAACACCAAATTAGCATACACTTGGGCGCAAAATGTATGAGTGTATGTTAGAGATATGAGATATCAGAAAATATATGTATGATATATTTTCCGTAGATATCATTCAGAGAATAATATATTTAGGTTTATTATATGTTAAGATATTATTTAGTGAATATATCATTAGGATATATGGTATATCTTTTGGGAAGATTGTTTCCTATCTTATGAGAGAATAGTTTTTGTATTGCTTAAGATACAAAAGCATAGTTTGTTTTTTTTTTTTTTTGAATAAAATAAATAACTATTATGTTTTGGTGTGCTTAGTATAGATTTTATTGCTTTCTTAGGTTAGTTTTATTGCTTTCAAAAATTAAAAAAAATCCAAAAATACATTCCAATGAATTATAAATCATGCTTCCCTGTGCCCTTTGATGAAAATTTTTCGAAATTGTTTTGATTCTTGGTTATTGATGAGAAATATTGTGGATTAGTTGATCATGATTTAATGTTTTATTGCCTTGGAACCCTAACATGCGTTAATTTGTCCAACTACTTGTGAATATAGTGCTTGACTAGTTGATTTGGTTAGGAATGTGTGTTAGTTCCTGGTATGCCAATGAATTTGAGTATTGGTTTACAACTATAAGTAATGTTTGTATGACTCATTATTATGCACATTGTGGAGGACGAAGGCGTTCATTCTTTTAGGTAGCCTTCAGATGATTGTAGATACATTTGTTCCCTTCTTGTTACCCATGTTGTTGGCTTGACTTTTTATTGTTTATAAACCACATTACAAGCCTATTTTTCCCCATTGGTTACTAGTCCCAAGTTTGGCTTGGGGGAGCTATTACTGAGTGAGGCGAGGGAGTTTGTAGTGTGCTTATTATTTGCACAATTTGGGTGGGTTTGAGAAGTTATTTTGTTTTTTATCATGTTTATTTTTGATGAATTTGAAATTTATATCGTCTTGAAAAAATAAAGTATGATGTTATGAAAAAAAAAAGAGAAGTTCAAGAAAAAATGAAAAAAAAAAAGTGAACTTCAATAGAAAAAAAAAAAAGCAAAAAGAAAAAAAGTGTTCAATGTTCAAATGTTTTAGTTGGAGGTTGATCAAAAGGAAGAAAATTTTGAGCTTCTATGAAAAATTCAAATTTGGAAATAAAGTTTGTTTATTCACTCCACTTCTTTATTAGTATATCTTATGAGTGAAATTGTAAGAATTGGGATTGTTTATATTGTTTGGAGTTGTATTTGGTGGATTTTTGTTAGAGTTGAGTTATGTAGGAGATGTTGATCATTATTTATTTAAATTTTGATCATGGGCTTTACTAGGATTTGCTCCCTTAAGCATAGTTTTTCTCTCACTTGTTCCCAAATGATTCCTACCCTTTACCCTAGCCTTACATTACAAGCTTTAAAGATCTTCCGACCTTTGTGCATAGAGTTGTATGAATGTGAAAGTGTTGTTTATCAATGCAAGTTATGATTTGACGTATTTTGAGTCAACTAGTAGGTTGAGCGTACATCTTTTTATACACACGAGAGTGTGAGTTGGGAGGGCATTGTTCACATTAAAGGGGTTGGTTGGAGAGCGATCGAGTACATCTTTTACTCGTCACATAAATGAGAGTTGAGTGTGGAGAGCGATCGAGTACATCGTTAGAGATATGATATATCGGAAAATATATGTGATATATTTTCCGTATATATATTGTTATGAGAATAATATATTTAGTATTATATTATGTTAAGATATTATTTAGAGAATATATCATTAGGATATATGGTATATCTTTTAGGAATATTGTTTCCTATCTTATGTTCGTAGGTTTTGTATAAATACTCTACCTATTGATGAATAATAAACAAACCATTCTATTCTATTTCTCTCTAATTTGTCATGGTATAAAGAGCAGGTTAAATCTTGGGACCGCTCACAAAAATTCCCCCCTGCCGGTGGGTTAGAAAGTTAAACCCACCGGTGGGATTCAAAATTTTGCTTCCGCTATGCATTAGGAGATTTATTTTTGGGAGTATGTGAGTGGACTTCCTCCACTATAACACATCTTTGGAGATGAAGAAATTAAATAGCGTTATGCTTGACGCAATATTTAAAAAAAAAAAAAGTTTTCGGCTCACTTGTGTCGTAAGACAAGACATATTTGGTTCTCCTTGTGCCGTGAGACAAGGTTTGTGAGTTTGATTCGAGCATGATTTTTCTCCTTTTGGATTTGAGTGTGGTTTACTCTGAAAGACTATTAAGAGATTCGAGTGCGTGTGGTTTACTCTTAAAGACCAATAAGAAATTGAGTGTGTTTCACTCTGACAAACCAATATTTGATTAGAGCTCGGTTTTGCTCTGGAATAACCAAAAATTGTTATATTTGCAGGTTCGAAAAGAATGACGTTCCTGTTTGATTGATGACAAATGGGTTCGAAAAGATGAACGTTCTCATCATTGAAGAAAAAAAATTGAAGGCAACATCACCAGAGAGTGCATCTCGACTTCAACAAATTGAAGAATTTCCAATCGCAACGTTCGTGTTACTGCCGTTACGATTGCGGGAGGGTGTTAGAGATATGATATATCGGAAAATATATGTGATATATTTTCCGTATATATATTGTTATGAGAATAATATATTTAGTATTATCTTATGTTAAGATATAATTTAGAGAATATATCATTAGGATATATGGTATATCTTTTAGGAATATTGTTTCCTATCTCATGTTCGTAGGTTTTGTATAAATACTCTACCTATTGATGAATAATAAACAAGATATTCTCTTTACCCTAATTTGTCATGGTATCAGAGCAAAACCTATTCTCTGATACCATGACAAATTATTTATGAGAGAATAGTTTTTGTATTGCTTGATTATTATTCATCAATAGGTTGAGTATTTATACAAAACATATGCTCATAAGATAGAAAACAATCTTCCCAAAAGATATACCATATATCCTAATGATATATGCACTAAATAATATTTTAACATATAATAAACCTAAATGTATTATTCTCTGAATGATATCTACGGAAAATATATCATACATATATTTTTCGTTATCTCATATCTTTAACAGTGTAGCACTATTGTAAGCATTTCCTCTACTAGGCTCTGTTCACTTTACCTTATTTTTATTGAATTTAACTTAATTTACCTGAACTAAAATTATTTTTCCTTAACTGTAATTATTTTTGCTCACATGAAATTATGTTTACAGATTTTCATTATATTTTTTCTTTAATATTACTTATTTTTACCGAATTAAAATAATTATTTATTTAACAAAACTTATTTTTTACTAAACTGAAATTATATTTACAAAACTGAAATTATATTACAAAATTGAATTACTTTTAACAAATTGAAATTATTTTCACTGGATATTAATATTTTTAAGGTGAAGGAAACATGACCTAATACTACTTACATATATGGTTTATCAAACAATTTTGACTTTTAACACTAAAAAACAAAAGTTTTACTCCCTCCATATTTTAATAAGGGTTACACTTACCAAAATGCGGCGTATTTTAAAAAGCGTTACACTTTATTTTTTAGGCAAAGAACTACATTTTAATATATTATCTCTTTTTTCTCATGGTCCCCACCTAAACCTACTTACGACTTACCCACTACTACTTTTTAGTTAATTTTTTTCCTTGCGGATTTATTACTTTTCTATAAAATAGTAACTGCACTATCTTTCTTTTTACAATTTTTGAATACTCCAACTACTCCCACTCATCTCTTATTAAATTTAAGACATTTAAATCGTATAAAATGTAATACCCCGTATTTTTAAGCCACTTACTTATTACTAACTATAGATTTTTCCGAAATATTTTATTATTATACAAAAATATTTATATGATTTTACGGATATAATTTTATAAGTATGCTTTATAAAGGTATTAATTATACGAGTCAAGTCAAAATTTGTCGTATCCAAATCAAATTTTCAATCGTTAACACTTTGGACCCGATTCAGACGGCAAAGTACCAAATTCGCTTTTTATACACAAGTTCAATTCATATGTGTAGTACACTAGTGCTACAAAAAAAATACGTCAACTTACATATTAGCTATTATTATTTTTATTAAAATTCTTAACCATGGTTAGTTAAGTAACATTTAAATTAAACCACCCTCTCCACCACGTTCCAGCCACCCACCCCCACCCCCCCGCCCTCCCCCTCCCTAGACATCCTTATCCTCCTCTGCTGACAACCCCCTCCCCCTTCCCCCAACCTTTCACCACCACTATCATCCTTTTCTTCACGGCATTCTTACTCTCAACGACTCCTCCAACAAATCTAGGGTTTGTTTTTACAATTTCTCAGGGTCTAAATGATCATGTTCCGATTTCTTCGTTCTCTAAACCGATTTTAGCTTCACTTATGCTTTCGTTGCTTTCATAACCCTTGAAACCATGGT